CCCGGAGAGCCTCCCCCCCATCCCAGAGAACAATGAATCCCCTTTTCCCACCCAGAACAATAAGGATCTCCCTCCCCGCCCCACGGAAAACAACGACCCCCCCCAAAAAAAAATCCCCCTGGGGGGCCCCGCAGTGATGCCCAATTTGGGGTCCCCACCCGGCGGTGGCAGGTCCGGGAGGTGCCACCTGTGGGCTGAGCTGTGCAGCGGCCTCAGCCCCGCGGGGATCGGGGTGCCCCCGGCCATGGGGGGACACACGGGGGATGGATCCCCCCTTCCCCACAGATCCCTAAACCCGAGGGACCCCCCAGTCCCGCCCCCCTGCCCCCGCTGCGGCCCGAGCCAGGGGAGGGCGAGGTCCCGCTCCCCGCAGCAGGAAGTTTGGCTTCCTCCCTATGATGGGAATTTCTCAAGGCGATGGATGTTCTCCGCTCCGACGCGCGAACGGGACCCGCCAGAAACGGCACCGCTCGCCCGGCAGCTCCCGCGCCCCCTCCCCGGCCACGCCGCGGGGTCCCGGCCGCCGCCACGGACCCCCGAGCCGACCACGTCCTTAACGGGGGGCTCCTGCGGGCGTTAATTGTGGCAGGAATTGCCGGAGCAATAGGGCGGGGAGGAGGAACTCTCCAGAAATCCCTTTAGGGGCCGTTCCGGTGGCTCTCGGTGCCCAGCCCGGTGCCCACCCCGGTGCCCGGCGGGGCTGATCCCACCGGGAACCAACGAGGCCACGGGCGGACCCTCGGTGGGGCTGAGCCCGCACCTTTCTCCTCCCAACCGGCCGGGTTCCCCCCCGGACCCCCATTTCCCCCTCCCCACGGGGGTCCGGGGCAGCGCTGGCCCCGCGGCCCCTCGACGTGCGGCGCTGGCGAAGGCGAAGCCAAATCTCCTTTTAGAGAGCGAAAGTTTCCCCTCGGTGCAGCTCGGCCGCGCTGGAATGCCTGGGCTTTTTATAAATCCTTCCTCCAGCCCAGGGATGGGCACGAGAAATGCCAGTCGGGGATGAGAAAAGGGGAAAAAAAGACTGGAGGGCAGAGTAGAAAAGAGGGATAAAGCATTTTTGGGTACCCTGTCTGCCCGCAAACCTCGCTGCTCGAGTTTTAGAAGAGCTCAAACTACACATATATATTTAATTTTATTTTTCCTGTGGAATTCAGGGCTTCCCAAATTCCCTTTTGTTCTTCAGGGCAATTATTTCTATTTTCCTTTAACCCCCTGCACAGTTCAATAAATCTTTTTTAACTGCGTGATCTCTGACACTTATCGGAGCTTTTTTTTTTTTTTTTTTCCTCCCCCCTTTTCTTTGCCAACCCCTTAAAACTCCGATATAAAACTAAAATGAAATCCGGCCCTTCGGAAGAAAAGCATAAACGTTCCCGACACCTTGGAAATGTGGTTTTACTTTATAGCATTACTTAGCACCTGATCAGCATTTTTTTTTTTTTTTTTTTTTTTTTTTGCAATAGAGAAGCCATAAAACCCCCGAGCAGGTATTTTCGTTGCAACTTGCACATTCCACAGCCTGCCTGCGTCTCTCCGGCCCTTTCCTCTCCGATCGGAAAACTTCACACTTTTCCCTTTTAAAACACATGTTCGGCTCTGCGGCCGTGCTGAGAGGGGAAAACAATTCCAGGGGGGAAAAAAAATAATATATATATGTATATAATTGGCCCCTCCAGAGGCTCCTGCTTGGAGGAGGGAAAAAAAAAAAAAAAAAAAAAAAAAAAAAAAAAAAAAAAAACCAACCAAAATCCAGGGGAAAAAAAATACAGAGAGAGAGAAAATTGGCCCCTCCAGAGGGTCCTGCTCGGAGGATGGGAAACGTGTCTGTTTTACGGTGCTCGTGTGAGTTTCTGGGGCTGTTTAGATTAAGATTTAGGAGAATCGGAGCTGGGAGTGCTGGGTCTGTTATCGGCAGAGCCGCAGCAGCTCCGGGCTCGGCTCGTGGCGGGGTCGGAGCGGGGTGGGCTCCTTGGCAAAGTTGGGGGGGTGAGATTTCCAGAGGCCTGGCTGGCCCTGGGAAGGGTTTGCTCTGGGGGGAGGGATGGATCCATCACCATCCGCGGATGCTCGGGGTGTCCCGGGGTACCCAGCAGCATCCCGCGCGTGTTTGGGGTACCTGGCACCGATCCGGGGGTGCGGGGGGTACCGCGGGGCGCCCCGCACCAACCCACGGCTCTTTGGGGTACCCCAGGCTGCTTTTCCCCGCTGGAATTCCTTCCTCTCCCCTCACCAGCATCCCCCGAGCACCGGCGGCAATTCCTAATTAAGCGTCCAGGGCATAACGCGGATTCTGAGCGCTAATTGCGCAGGGTGCGGAGCGCTAATTAGGGTCTCTCCTAATGCGTGCCGGGGATTTTGGGATCGCCGGGTGGGAGCCGGGCGCTGAAAGCCGATCGGGGCCGGCAGGTCGGAGGGGCGGGGAGGTCGCGGCACTTTCCGGGAGGTAATTTGGGATGTTATTAGCCCGGCGCGTGCGGATGGAGCCGATAAGGGCTGACGGACGCGGAACACCCCGCGGCGGGGGAGCCTCGCGGCCGAGGGGTCCCGGGGTGAACCGGGGTGGGAATTCTCCTGGCGGAGGGGGGAATTCTCCTGGAGAAGGGGAAATTTCTCCTGGCGGAGGGGGGAATTTCCCCCCAGCTCTCCCAGCCTGCGGCACCCTCGGGATGGCGAGGGGAGAGCGGTGGGGTTTGGGAGCACATGGTGAGGATGAGGAGGGAGCTCTTGGGAAAAGCGCTTCCCACCCCAAGGGGGAAATGCCGGACTTTGGCATTGTTGGAAAAGGGGGGAGGGGGAAATCCCCTCGAATTTTCTTTTTTTTGAAATCCTTTTGTGGCGGAAAAAACTTCCGAAGCTGCAACCCAGCCCCGCCCCAGCCCTGGGGGAAATAAAAAGATAAAAAAATGGATATGAAAAGTGTTTTAGAAGTTCAAAAATAGATGTAGATATTAAAATAGATATTAAATGCGTTTCGATATAAAATGTATGTAGATATAAAAGTAGGTGTAAAGCGTATTTAAATAGATTTAAAATAGGGGTGTATTGAGATATAGAATAACTACAAAAAATATTTAAAGAGATAAAAAAGATATAAAATGTCTTTAGGTATAAAATGGATATAAAATATGCAGAAGTAAAGAATAGATATTAAACACATTTAAACCAATGTAAAATAGAAAGCAGTGTCTTTAAAGGATGTAAAATGGAAACCACTGTGCTAAATTGATACAAAATAGATATGTGATGATTTAAATCTATATAAATTAGATATGTGATTTAAATCAGTATAGGCTTGCAATGATTTACATCCATGTAAAACAGCTAAACAATGTATTTAAATTAGCACAAAACATATATGATGATTTAAATTGATACAGACGCGATGATTTAAATTGATGTAAACTAGCAAAACAATGCACTTAAACAGACATAAAACGTATTTAAATGAATACAGAAGAGACACCAAGGCGTTGAAATCAACGCAAACCAGACACAAAACGTATTTAAACACACACAAGACACACTTAAACAGCTCTAACCCCGCCAGCTCCACACCAAACCCTCCCTAACCGTGCTCTCTGTCTCTCCGGCTGCAGACCCCGCCGTGATTTCCCCCCAAGACCCCACCCTGCTGATCGGCTCCTCGCTGGTGGCCACGTGCACGGTCAGCCCGGACTTTCCGCTGAAAGCCGAGGATCTGTACTGGACACTGAACGGACGGCGCCTCCCGGCCGCCTCCTACGCCGCCCTGGGCCCCTCCACGCTCAGCGTGGCCCTCGCCCGCCTCAACGGCTCCAGGCAGCAGTCGGGGGACAACCTGGTGTGTCACAGCAGAGATGGTGGCATCCTGGCCGGTTCCTGTCTTTATGTTGGATGTACGTGGGTGGCAATGCGATGTGATGGGGTTTGGTCACTCTGTGCTGGGGTGTGGGCACTCTGTGCGGGGGTGTGGGCATTCTGTACTGGGGTCTGGTCACTGTGCTGGGGTTTGGTCACTCTGTGCGGGGGTGTGAGCACTCTGTCAGGGTCTGGTCACTCTGTGTGGGGGTGTGGTCACTCCTTGTGGGGGTCTGGTCACTCTGTCTTGGTCTGGCTGCTCTGTGCTGGGGTCTAGTCATTCTGTGCCAGGGTCTGGTCACTGTGTGCTGGGGTCTGGTCACTGTCCTGCGGTGTGGTCACTGTGCTGGGGTCTGGTCACTGTCCTGCGGTGTGGTCACTGTGCTGGGGTCTGGTCACTCTGTGTCAGGGTCTGCCTGCTCTGTGCTGGGGTCTGGTCACTCTGTGCCAGGTTCTGGTCACTCCATGCTAAGGTCTGGTCACTCTGCACTGGGGTCTGGCCATGCCATGTCAGGGTCCAGCCGCTCTGTACTGGGGTCTGGCCAGCACTGGGATGTGCCTCCCCCATGGGAGAGAAGCCAGGGATCCCCCCAGAGCAATCAGCCTCCTGGTTCTCACCAAATTGTGCCAGGAGCTGCTCTGGTGGAGCCCTGAGAGGCTGCTTCGGCAAAGCCTCGGTTAAAACGTGCTTGTCCGAACCAATAATCGTAAGATTTTATCTCGGGCTATTTTAAGGACGATGCTACGTCCCAGGAATATGGGATCGGAACGGGGAACGCAGCTCGGGTTTGTTTTTTGGGTCGCTACGCATTCCCGGGAATACAGAGGCTCAGCTGGGAATGCAGCTTGGATTTGGGGTTTGCGTCTCCGTGGCTGGAAAAAACCAGCTCTGGAACATTTTGTTCTTTGGTTTTCGTCTCTCCCAGTACCCCCAGAAAAACCAGTCAACATCACTTGCTGGTCCAAAAACATGAAGGACCTGACCTGCAAGTGGGCGCCAGGGACAGAAGGGGAGACCTTCCTGCACACCAACTACACCCTCAAGTACAAGCGCAGGTGGGTGCTCATCTTCATCCCTGTTTTGTTAAAAATTTGGAGTGGGATTTAATGGGAAACAGGGAAGGGGCAGCTCCATGCCTCCTGGCTGGGGTGCTGCTGCTGGGATGAGTTTCCTCATGCAGCTGGGGAGGGTGAGGAGCAGCTGCTGTGGGCCTGGTTGAGTTGGGAATCCCTGAGTGAGCCTCGGGGCCGGCCCCCCAATTCTGCCAGCGTGGAAAAAACCAAAAAGTGACCCACGGGAGCATCGCGGGGGTGGGGGAGCGGTGCCAGCACCTCATCCATCACCTGCCCGCAGGTGGTACGGCCAGGACAACACCTGCCAGGAGTACCACACGGCCGGAACCTACTCCTGCCACATCCCCAAGGACCTGGCCCTCTTCACGCCCTACGAGATCTGGGTGGAGGCGTCCAACCGCCTGGGGGTGGCCGTGTCCGACGTGGTCATGCTGGACATCCTCGACGTGGGTGAGCCACGCCACCGCCGCGGTGTCCCCGCCGTGCCGGTGACCTCTGCGGGGAGCGGCCGCGCCGGGCTGGGGCGGGGGCAGCAGGAAATGGGCGATATGTGAGCAGAATTGCTCCTAATCGAATTAGGCTGTTTTGCTCCGAGTCGCTTTTTACATCCGCGGCTCCTTAACCCTCGCGGCCCCGCGGCGCTGCCCCGCTGTCGCCGCCAGCCCTGCCCTGTCCCCGCAGTCACCACGGACCCGCCGTCGGACGTGCACGTCAGCAGGGTGGGCGACCTGGAGGACCAGCTGAGCGTGCGCTGGAGCTCCCCGCCGGCCCTCAAGGATTTCCTCTTCCAAGCCAAGTACCAGATCCAATACCGCGTGGAGGACAGCTCCGAGTGGAAGGTGCGTGGGCACGGCCGGGGGACAGCGCGGGGTGGCCGAGGGTCCGGGTGCTCCCGTCTGGTCCCTCTGCAGGTGGTGGATGATGTGGGCAACCAGACCTCGTGTCGCCTGGCCGGCCTGCGCCCCGGCACCGTCTACTTCGTCCAGGTGCGCTGTAACCCCTTCAGCATCTACGGCTCCAAAAAAGCCGGCATCTGGAGCGACTGGAGCAACCCCACGGCCGCCTCCACCCCACGCAGCGGTGAGTGCGGCCAGCAGCGCCCGCCGGTGCCGCCGGTGCCGCGCTCCCCTCCCCGCGCACCGGGGGATGTGCGGGGGCCCTTCCCCGCTCCGTGCCCGGCACCCGGATTTCTCGCAAAGGAGCCAATTTGGAGCTCGGCTTTCCCACCTGGGAGCCAAAACCTGCTCGTGTTCCTCCGGGCCTTCCTCATTCATAGCACGGCAGCGATGGGGGCGTCGAGGCGCGTCCCCCCATGTGCCACTGACCCCCTTGTCCCCGCAGAGCGAGTGGCGGGGGGCTGCGACCCCAAAGGGGGGGAGCAGAACACGACGCTGCGGCGGGAGCTGAAGCAGTTTTTCGGGTGGGTGAAGAAACACGCCTACGGCTGCTCCAACCTGGGCATCAAACTCTACGACCAGTGGCGCGTGTGGCTGCAGAAATCGCACAAAACACGCAACCAGGTAGGTAAGGAGCCTTTCGCACTTCTTCTCCCCGGCTGGGTGGGGACGGGGGGTGGGGGGGGGACGCGGGGTGACCCCCCACCCCAGGGATGCTGGGGGGTGACGCCGACCCCGGGGCGACGCGGGGCTCTGCTCCTCTCCGCAGGTTCTTCCCGGCGATAAGTTGTAGCCCGCGGGGGACCGAGCGCCGGCAGGATGGGACGGGGCGCCCGGCGCCCACCCGGGACCGCCCGCGCCCGCCCCGGCCCCGCCGCGGGGGAGCCGGGAGGCGACCGGGGCGCAGCGCGGCCCCGCAGCCCTGGGGAACGGGGTGGGGTGAGGTTGGGGGGCCGGGCTGGCCCAGCCCCGGGGGCTCTGTGGGACCCTGGCCCTGCGGCAGCGAGGGGACCCCCCAGCCTTGCCCGGCCGGGGGAGGCACCGAGGCTTTGCTCCACCAGCCGGAGCAGCCTCTGGGATGAAAGGGGCGGCGGGGGCTTCCCGGGTGACCCCACCCTCGCCGCAGTTCCCCCCCGGGAAGCGATTTTGGCCTTTTTCTCGCCAGGGTCCCACGTGCGAGTGCACGGAGGGGTCCGTCCCCAGGGAGCCACGCGGGCTGATTGGAGGCTGCTGGGGTTTGCCCAGTGCCTGCTCCAGTTTTGATTCAAACCAGCCTTATTTTGGTTCCATTTCAGTCAATTAGGAACAGATTTAAGCTTAATGCCAATAAACCTCTGAAACCCCACCGGGGTCTGCGTCAGCGGAGCGGCAGCGCTGCGCGGGGACGGGGATGCAGCGGGCAGCCAAATGGGGCCCGTGGCCCTTGTCACCCCATCCCGGGGCTCCCAGGGGACCGAGCCAAGGAGGAGGGGGTGGCACTGGGGCAGCGGGGGCCACACGAACCCTTGAGATCACACCACTCAGGCCAGCTCTGTGGGGACAGGTTTATTTGGGGTGACCATAGAAAAAGAGCTCGTGGAGCTGCAGTGGGGCTGGGGGCACAGCCGGTCTCCCAGGTGTGGTTTAGGGGGGCTGCTGCCCATGGGACTCCAGCTGGCAGCAGGGACAGTGCCCAGCTCGATGGAGGCCCAGCACGGCAGCCCCTTGGCACTGCACGGTGTGGTTTGCCTTTGGAGGGGAGGGGAACCAGCCCCACGCCGGACCCCTCTGCTGAGGGGTACTCAGGATTTAGGGGGACCCCTCTTGTCCCAGAGGGAGCTTCTCCACCCCTTCCAGCCGGTTGTCCAGAAAAGGGGCCCAGAGGACAATGCCCACCTTGCCAAGGTGCACCGGGAGCGGGTGGGGGATGAGCGGGGCCCCCGTTCCACCAGCCCGGCCCCTCCAGCCGTTCCCACGGGGACACCCATCACTCAACTTCTTCCGAATCGTACTTAAGGTCCTGGAGAATTTCGCTGATTGCCTCAATGGTTTTAATTAGCCTACGAGAGCGGATGGAAACTATAAATAAAGCCCATATGGAGCGTATTATGTGGGCCGCCTCGCCTTCCCCGCGCTGTTTATGAAACACTCAGCCTGGGGAGGCCGAGGGGACGCGGCCACGCAGCGCCGCCAGACCCCGAAGGCACCATCTGGGCCCCCCTGGGCCGGAGGGAGGGCGGGGAAAGGCAGGGAAGGGGCTCCTGGCCTGGACTCCATGATCCCTTCCAACGCAGGACACGGCAGGATCCCGCGGGCTGGGGAGGGGGTGCCATCCCAAAACAGGGGCACAAGGGGATGGCACTGGGGGTTCTAGGCTCATTCCCCCCCAAAATGAGGGGGGACAGCAGCGGGGCCACTACCTACTTGTGCTTGAGCTCCTGCACCTCCTGCTGATGGGCGTCCACCTCGGGCTGGTCCTGAGCCTGCTGCCGGGCCAGCTGCAGCTGTGCCGTCTGCAGGGGGACACCACGGGAGCTGAGACCCCCCCAAAGCAGCCCCAGCACTGCCCAAGGGACCCCCCCAAGCCCAGCACCCACCAGCTGCAGCTTCTCCTGCTCCCTGTCCTGGAGACGGGCCAGGTGCTGCGCCAGGTCGGGGCGGCCGAGCTCGTCCCGCAGGCGCCCGGCGATGTCCAGCACCTCCCGGGAGATGCCACTGAAGGCCACGGTGACCTCGTGCACCAGCTGCCGGTACCGCGGGAAGTCATAGTGGGGGGCACTGCTCAGGTACGCCCGGTGGCCCCTGCGGACAGGTCAGAAGGGGGAAGCCACTGTCACCACACCTGGGGTGCCCACCCTGGAACTGAGCCCCCTTTGCCACCCACCACCGGCAGCACCAGCAGGGTTTTCCTGCCTGGATTTGGCAGCAGGACCAGGCAGCCTCACCCCTCACACGGGACAGCGTTGGGAACTGCTTTTTGCGGGGGGAAAAGTTGGAGGTTTGGGTTTTCTCATCCTTTACACTCTCAGCCCTGCATCCCAGGAAGTCCATCATCTGCTGGATGCTAAAATAGGATTCAGGTGTCCAGCGCAGAGCCCCGCTGCCAGCTGGAGCTCATCAGCCATCCCCATGGCCCCGTCCCAACAGGATGCAAAATAATCGGGATGGGGGATCCGGTTCCCTGCTGGGGGTGCCCCGCCCCGGGAGGTGCCGCGTGTCCCGGTGGGTGCCGCCCCCCGGGGGCCCGTCCCCGCGCCGGTGCCGGTGCCGGTACTCACTCCTCGAAGAGCCGGTACGTCTCGACCCGCTCGCTCTGCAGCTCCCGCAGCCGCTGCAGCAGCTCCCGCACGGCCTCGCCCGTCTGCGGGACACAAGGGGACGGACGCGGTGGCACCGGTGACCCGGTAACGGGCTCCGGGCAGAGGCGGTACCGCCCAGGAGGATCACCCCGGTGCTGGGGCAACGCGTCCTCACCCAGCACCGGTTCTGGGGGTCCCGGGTGGGTTCCGGCCGCGGTGCTTGCACCGGCACCGGGAGCCGCCCGGTCTTGTGCGCACAACACAGACAGGCACCGGGACCCCTCCTATCCCCCTGCCCACCCCCCGGGCACGAACCGGACTGACACCGGGACCCCTCCCCCGGACACGTGCCCGCGATACCGAAGATCCCCCATCCCGTCCGTGCGTGCGCCGGGACCCCTCTCTATGTACACCGGGACCCTCGGCCGTGCTCACACAACCCAGACGGGCACCGGGACCTTCCCGGCCCCGGGATGCCCCCAGCCCGCTGCAAACGCACCGGGAGCCCCCCGGCCACGTGTCCACGGACCGGCACCGGCATCCCCCGGCTCCCAACACAGACGGGCACCGGGACCCCCCATCCACGAGCCCCCCGTGACCGCGCGCGCACGGACCCGCTCGGTCCCGGGGCGCCCCTCCCGTCCCCCGGGGGCCGCTCCCGTTCCCGTCCCGGTGCCGCTCACCATGGCCCGGCCCGGCCGCACGGCGCACGCCCGGGGCCTGCGGGGCGGAGCGCGGTTCCGCCGCCACCTGCAGGCACCGACCGGCAGCGCCGCCAGTCCCGGTGCCCTGCTCCGGGTGCCCGGTCTGGTCCGTGCAGCGCCGGTGCTGTGAACGCACGGCCGGGGGTCCCGGTGGATGGGCAGGGGGATGCAGTGGGGGCTCCGTGAGCAGGGGGTCCCGGTGGGCGGGCAGTGGGGGCTCCGGGGGCTCCGTGAGCAGGGGGTCCCGGTGGGCGGGCAGTGGGGGCTCCGGGGGCTCCGTGAGCAGGGGGTCCCGGTGCCGGTCACTGGACACGCGGTCGGGAGCTCCCGGTGGGTTTGCCGCGGAACAGGGAGAGCCCAGGACCAGCCGGTCCCATGCACGCCTGGCCGGGGGTCCCAGCAGTGGGCAGGGGGCCCAGTGTCCATCCAGACCCTGCAGAAGTGACCAGAGGGCTCCCAGGGCGTGAGCAGGGCGTGTAGGGGGTCCTGGTGACAGTCAGCCCCATGCCTGGGGGGTCCCAGTGCGTGTAGGGGGTCCTGGTGACAGTCACCCCCATAGCTGGGGGGTCCCAGCTCCTGTAGGGGGTCCTGGTGACCGTCAGCCCCATGCCTGGGGGGTCCCTGTGTATGAGCAGGGCATGCAGCGGGTCCTGGTGACAGTCACCCCCATAGCTGGGGGGTCCCAGCTCCTGTAGGGGGTCCTGGTGACAGTCACCCCCATGCCTGGGGGTCCCTGTGCATGAACAGGGGGTTTTGTGTGTGGTCCTGGTGCTGTTCCAGTCCCTGTCTGGGTCCCAGTGCCCATCTGCTGTGTGCACATGGCCGGGGGTCCCGTGGGTGGGCAGGGGGTCCCAGTGCTGGCCCAGTCCTTGCACACATTGCTGCAGGCACTGCCCACCAGCAGCACCCCCACCTTCATCCTTCCCCATTCCCCACCCTCCTGTGCTGCTCCAGCACCGCCCCCATTTACCGAAAACCACAATTTGGGTAAAAAACCACCAGAAAACACGGCGCTGAGCGCTGCAATACTTTATTGGCCGGTGCAGGCAGGGCTGGGGGCTCTACTTGACCTTCTTCTTGGGGCGCAGGTTGTTGGTGTGCCCGCACTTCTTCTTGCGGCAGTTGACGGCGCGGGGGTGCAGGCGGGCGTAGCACCTGGGGGGGACAGGTCAGCAGAGCCCCGTGTCCCTGGGGAGGGGCTCCCGGAGCCGGGGGGGGCTGCGGGGACACGGGGAGGGGACACGGGGAGGGGACACGGGGACGTACTTGCGGCAGATCATCTTGTCGCAGTTGTACTTCTGGGCCAGCTGGCGCAGGGAGGGTTCGATGATTCCCCCTCGCAGGCGCAGCACCAGGTGCAGGGTGGACTCTGCGAGGAGACATCGGCGTCACACCGGGGGGAAAGCAGCAGCTGGCACCCCCCAAAAACGCCCCCCACAAAGACCCCCGGGGTCCGGGGAGCACCTTTCTGGATGTTGTAGTCTGCGAGGGTGCGGCCATCCTCCAGCTGCTTGCCGGCGAAGATCAGGCGCTGCTGGTCGGGCGGGATCCCTGCGGGACACAAGCACGGCGGTGGGGACACCGGGGGACCCCCGCGGGCCGCCCCCCGCCGCTCCCGGCCCCGCCAGTACCTTCCTTGTCCTGGATCTTGGCTTTCACGTTCTCGATGGTGTCATTGGGCTCCACCTCGAGGGTGATGGTTTTGCCCGTGAGGGTCTTCACGAAGATCTGCATCTTGGCACCGTCTCACCTGCGGCAGCGGCGGCCGCGTCACCCCGGTGTCGCCGTGTCCCGCCCCCGACAGGGCCCCGCCGCTTCCCGGCCCCTCAAAGCCCCGTTCCCGAGCACCTCTCCCGGGATCCAGCCGCCATCCCGGGATCCAGCCCCGCTCTCCCGGATCCAGCCCCCACCCCGGGTTTCGGGGCCCTCTCGCGGGATCCAGACCCGTCCCCGGGGACCCCGGGCCCCTCCCGGGGTTCCAGCCCCCACCCCGCGATCCAGCCCCCGCTGCCCGGGTCCCAAGGCCCCCCTCCCGGATTCCAGTCCCCATCCCGGGATCCAGCGGCCCCTCCCGGGATGCAGGGCCCCGCCCCAGGCCCCGGGCCCGCTCCGGTCCCGCACCGCGCGCACCCGCGGCCTCGCTGCTGAGGGAAAGGGAGGCGGGGCCGGAACCGCGGCTGTGCCCAAGACCAGGATGGAGCAGCCTGGGAAGGTGTCCCTGCCACGGCAGGGGTGGCACCGGGTGGGCTTTAAGGTCCCTCCAACCCAAACCATCCCACAACTCCAGGAATCTGCACATCAGGAACCACTCACTGCTGAAAGCCTCCGGGTACTGCTTTGCCAACTTCCCTTTGAGCGTCCTGGGGAGGAGAGAACAATCCCAGTCCGTGGGGAGCCCAGCAGCCCCACGCCTCCCTGGGCAATGCAGACACATCCCAAGGCTGAGGGATTCCCACCCAAACCCCCAGAACGCCCCATCCCACCCTGCCCAGCACACGGGGGGTTTCTGAATCCCACCCCGAGCAGCTCCCACGGCAGCAGAGCCCATCCCACCCAGAGCAGGACACTGGAAACCCAATCTCCAGACTCCACTCCATCATACATTTTCCCTTCCCCAACAGATTTTCCTTCTCACAGCCCCCCAAACTCCACCCTGGGACTGACCCCCAAACCCGAGACAGCCCCTGGGACCGACCCCCAAACCCAACACTGCCCCTGGGACTGAACCCCAAACCTGACACTGCCCCTGGGACTGACCCTCAAACCCAACACTGCCCCTGGGACCGACCCCCAAACCCAACACTGCCCTCAGTCCCTGGGACTGACCCCATGGCCACAGGACTGGACCCAGGACCGGCCCCAGAGTGCCAGACCAGGCCACACTGACCCCACAGACCCCAGAGCGGCCCCACAGCCATCCCCATGCTGGGTCCCACAGCTCCAGGATCAGCCCCAGCCCTCCAGTCCCATCCCCTCAGGACCCCAAACCCGAGCAGTTCCCCCACCACACCACAATGCCGGTGGAAAAGGAAGATCTGGGCAGCTCCTGCTCCCGGGAGGCTCCGTGCCTGTGGAGCAGCCAGCAGCTGAGAACCAAAGAGAAACACGGCTCTGGTTCGTCCCAGCGGTGGAGAACTCAGCCAGCACAAGTCCCTCAGCAGCAGGGACAGACCCCTGGCAGAGCTGGTGGGCACACCGAGCCTCAGAGACAACACTCCTTACAAAACATAAACATCCGTGCCCCGAAAGCGGCTTTTCCGCACCAAAAACCTACGCGGAGGGTGAAGTTTAGCCGCTCTCCTGAGCGCAGGAACGAGGGAGGACAAGAGCAGAGGCATTTCCAACCCAGGATTTACTGATCCCCCCTGAAGCGAGCGGTGCCTTTACACCTCAGTGGCAGTTTGGAGGCAGAAGGGCAGCACCTTCCTCCCTCAGCTTCTCCCAGCCTTGGCTTCCCTCTTCCCGAACCTGTGCCTTGCTCTAACACCCCCACGCAGCCCCCCCGGACCATCTCCCGGGCCGTTGGCAGCCCGTTTCCCACCGGATCCTGCGGAAGATGCTGTCCAGGTCCTTCTTCATCTCCACCAGGGTCCGGGTGTGGTGCAGGAAGCGCTCGTTCATCTGCTGCATGCGCACGCTCGACAGGTTGTTGAAGTTGAGCAGCATCTCGTTGGTCTTCTCAAACCGATCCAACCTGCGCGGGGGAGAGGCACACGGAGCTCGCCAAAGATCCCGGGAGGCTCCCGGTGCCGGTACCGGGTTTCCCACCGGCCGCTCCCCCCGGGGGACTCACATGTTTTTCTGTGCCAGGATGATGGCGTTGACGTCCTCGGCGTTGACCATGCCCAGCACCCTCCCGCAGAACACCTGCGAGGCCGTGGGCTCCATCGTGACCTGCGGGACGGCGGGGGCGGCTCAGCCGGGGGGACCGGAGCCCCCCGAGCCGGTAACGGAGACCCCCCCGCCCCCCGCCGCCTTCCCCCCGTGATAGCGGGACCCCTCCGCCCTGCCATGCACCCAGTACCGGGTACCCCGCCGCCGTGCCTCCTCCCCGGGCGGCCCCACACGCCGGTAACGGGGGGGTCCCCTGGCCCGGTCCCGGTAGCGCCGCCAGCCCCGGGTTCCTCGGGGACACGGGGGTCTGGGCCTCCAGTGGTGATCCCGGGGCCTCCCACCAGCAATGCCCGCGCACCTGCGGGAGCCCGTCCCGCCGCTTCACATGACGGGAGCGGGAGCGGTACCGGGGGCGGCACCGGCGGCCGCTCCGCGCCGCTTCCGGGTGTGCAGTCACGTGGGGCGCGACCCCGCGGCGTCACCGCGCCGAGCCGGAAGTCCCGGAGACCGACCGGGCGAGAGGGTCGCGACCCCTGCGAGCATCACGGAGCCTCTCCGGTACCGGTGCCGAGCCCCCAGCCCCGCTGCCGGCAGCTCCAGGGCGGCCGCGCTGGTGGCGGCCCCTTTAAGGCGTCGGGGGCACCGCGGGCGCGCGGCTGACGAGCGTGCTCCCCGCCCAATGGCGTCGCGCGGTGGGCGGGGCAGGCCAATAGGAACAGGGGGGCGGGGCCTGCGCCCGCGCGTTCGCGGGCCAGGTGGGAGCGGCGGGGGGCGCTCGGCGGTCACGTGGGGCGGGCGGGGGGCGCGGGGCCGCCCCCCCCACGGTACCGGGCCGGGGCTGCGACCCCCCCGATCCCACCGGGACAGACCTTCCCGAGAGAGAGAGGGGGAAAAAAAAAAAAAAAGAAAACAACCCAAAAAAACCAAAAGAGCGACACACAAATATAAATACAGGCTAGAAAGTTCCGCAGGGGCTCCTAGTCCAGGCCGTTGGCCGTGTCCTCGTCCGTGAGACTCTGTCCGTTCAGGGCAGGGCCATCGTACTGGCCTTGGGATAAATCCTCAAAATCCTGGCTGGTGGTGGGGGAGATGACGTCGGGGCTGCTGTCACAGGACTCCGTGCTCTGCTCCGAGGTAGCGATGGTGGTCGTGGTGCTCTTGGGGACGGGGTCGAAGTCGTCGTCGTCCTCCAGGATGGGGGATTCGTGGATGTCTGACAGGGGAGAGGGAGCTGTTGGGTTTGTGCTGCTGGGGCAGCAGATTCCCTGATTGTGCTCGTGGCAGGGGTTAAAAAAAAATCCAGCGAGTCGCCAGCGTGTAAATTAAGGGGTGTTTGTTGTTTTTTGTAAGTGGGTTTAATGGGATTAAGGAGTTTTTTGGGAAGCAGCCACGGGTCAGCACGTGGAGTTGTGATTCCTGAGGGATGCCTTAGGAACAGACTCTTCCCACAGGAGGAAAACTCATCCCACCGAGCCCCCGCCCCCGCCAGGCCCGATCCTTCCCCGGCGCTCCGGGGTCTCCGCTGTCCCGTTGCGCATCTCCCGCTCCCGGAGGGTCCCGGCGGTCTCCGTACCGGCGGAGCGTCTCTGCCGGTAAGAGCAGCCCCGACCGCTGTCGTCTCTCCCCGCTCCAGGTTGCTCCGCCGCCATGGCGTCCAGCGGGGAGGAACCGAGGAGCGGCTCCCCGGGCCGGGCGGGCGCCGGCACCGAGGCGGCGGCGGACGCGGCTCAGCTGGACACGGCGGAGGATTTCGAGGTCCTGGAAGAGGAAGAGGCAGATTCCCTGATTGTGCTCGTGGCAGGGGTTAAAAAAAAATCCAGCGAGTCGCCAGCGTGTAAATTAGGGGGTGTTTGTTGTTTTTTGTAAGTGGGTTTAATGGGATTAAGGAGTTTTTTGGTTTTTTGGGAAGCAGCCACGGTCAGCACGTGGAGTTGTGATTCCTGAGGGATGCCTTAGGAACAGCGAGGTCCTGGAAGAGGAAGAGGAGGAGGAGGAGGAGGATGAGGATGACCTGAGCGAGCTGCCCCCGCTGGAGGACGTGGGCCGGCCGGCGGCCCCGCCGCGGGAGGACGCGCAGCCCCCGGAGCGGGTCGGGGGGGACGCGGCCGGGGACCCCCAGGAGTGGCTCGATGTTTTGGGTGAGAGCACAGGCTGCTCGGTACCGGGGCCTCTCGGGCTTCCCCGGGGCTGCAGGTGCCACCAAGGCCGGGCAGGAGCCGCACAAGGGTGGGGGTGCTCAGGCTTTTCCCTCCCCAGCGATGCGCCCCCGGTTTTTCTGTGCCCAGGGAATGGTTTGCTCAAGAAGAAGACGCTGGTGCCCGGCCAAGGTGTGGAGAGCCGTCCCCAAAAGGGCCAGGACGTGACAATCCGCCTGAAGGCCACGCTGGAGGATGGCACCGTGGTGGAAGAGGACCCTGCCCTCACCTTCACGCTGGGGGACTGCGATGTCCTGCAGGTGAGCACGGGGTGGGAGCTCAGCTGGGAGCTGGACCTCACCTCAGGGCCACAGGGAGGGTTGGGGCCGGTGACATCCCGTTTGTGGGTCAAAGTGGCCCCTCTGTCCTTGCTTGTGCTCCCTCCCCATGGTGTTGGCCGAGTTTGAGGGGTTTGGAGCCATCTGGTCCCGTGGAAGATGTTCCTGCCCGTGGCGGGAGGTTGGCACCGGAGAACCTTTACAGTCCCTTCCGTGGTGCCGTGTTGTCCCTGCAGGCTCTGGACCTGTGTGTGCAGCTCCTGGAGATGGGGGAGACAGCTCTGATCGTGTCAGACGCCAAGTACTGCTACGGAGCTCAGGGCAGGTGAGCTGGCAGCACACCAGCTGGGGCAGGGTGGTCCCACACAGGGAAGCTGTCCCCTGCTCACCTGGTGACAACCCAGCTGTCCAACCTCTGCTTCCTCACTTGCCACGAGCAGTGTGTCCTACCCCAAAAGACCCACATCATTCCCTGGAATCTCCCCTGGATTTCTGAGCCAGGGTGCTAAACCCAGCAGCACCTGGGAGGTGACAGTGGTGGCCTGGCTTTGTGCAGGAGCCCTGAGATCCCCCCCAACGCGTCCCTGACGCTGGAGGTGGAGCTGCTGGCGGCTCGGGACGCGCCGGACCTGGAGCTGCTCAGCGGGAAGGAGAAGATCCAGCTGGCCAACCGCAAACGGGAGCGCGGCAACTTCTTCTACCAGCAGGCAGATTACGTGCTGGCCATCAACTCCTACGACATTGCCCTCAGGATTGTGGGCTCCAGCTCCAAAGGTACCTGTCCCCCCACCAGGAGGGGTGGCCTGGGCTGCTGGCCCTGCTGTGACCTGGCCTCGGGGTGTGTGCAGTGGATTTCAGCCCGGACGAGGAGGCCGAGCTGCTGGACGTGAAGGTGAAGTGTCTCAACAACCTGGCGGCCTCGCAGCTGAAGTTGGACCATTTCAAGGCAGCTCTCAAGTCCTGTAACCTGGTGCTGGAGCACCAGCCGGGGAATATCAAGGCTCTTTTCCGAAAGGGGAAGGTGAGGGGGGGGGTCATTGTCCACGGTGTGGCGGGGGGGATGAGGGACAGGCCTCACTGCTCCATCCATGTGTCACCCTGCAGGTGCTGGCTCAGCAGGGAGAGTACAGAGAGGCCATTCCCATCCTGAAGGCAGCGTTGAAGCTGGAGCCTTCAAACAAGGTAGGCTGGAGGTGTGTGCTGCCCGTGGTCCCCCTGAGCTGGGGGTCTCCTGGATTCTTCTCTCTTATCCATGTCCCTAGAAACCTAAGAAGGTTGAGATTCCCTGGAGCTGCTCCCAGCTCTGTGAAGGGAGGCTGGGAATAGCCCCCAGAGCTTGGGGAATGATGCACCACGTGGAGCATGGCTGGGCTGGTCTCCAGCCTTATCTCCACGCTGTGAGGTTCCCTGTTGACCTTTGGTCCTGACGGTGACAGGACTCCCTGCCAGCCCATCCGTGCTCCAGCCGTGCTGTGGGGAGGGTCCAGGCTGCTCCAGGTTCCCCAGGTGGCTGGGGCAGTTTGTGCTGTGGTTGGGGGAGGTGGAGCAGAGCTGAGTCCCCACAAACTCGCTGAGCAGCCCCGAGAGTGAATCACCGGGTGCTGGGAGCAGCCAGAGCTCGGTCCAGCGCCCGGGCAGGGCGAGCTCTGGGTCAGGAATTTCCTGTCAGTTAATGATCAGCTGCAGGACTGGAGCCTCGGGAGAAATCAAAAACCAGTGCCAGGAAATGACCCCAGCAGGAGCGAGACTGGGAGGAGACAGGGAGGTGTTGCCTGCACAGGGTCCTCCTGGGGGTCTTGGCTCTCCAGATGGGCTTTAATCCTTGTCTGGATCTCTTGTATCCAATTCTTTCATGGGGGTTTCACCTGACTGTCTGGATTTATGTCATGATCCAGCCCCTGAAGGTCACGGGTGAGATGTGGCATGAGCAGGTGCTTGGTGGTCCCACAGCACCTTCAGAGGTGATCTGAGCACCCTTGGAAGGCTGAGCAGGACACCAAACCCTTCCTTTCCCATCAAGGTCAGGGTGGAGAGGGAGCAGCGCTGGGAACCATTCCCCTGGCACGTCCCTGGGCAGGGCGGCTGCTCCCCAGTAGTTCCGATGGAGCTTTTAATTGGAGAGGGCTGGAAAATCCAAATGCCCAGCAGTGACGTGTCCAGTGAAACCACAAGTACAGCAAATTACTGCCCTCCCCAGCTGCTGCCCGGGCTCCTGGGGAAGTGGTGGTGCCTCTCCAGTCGCGGCGTGGGTGACTCAGGGGCCACGGCTACCGGTGCTGAAAACACTCCAGAAATGCTGGGCTCCACCTGCCTCCCGCCAGGCTGTCACAGACATCCCTTCTCCTGAGCCCTTGGAAGCGTTCTGGGGGCAGTGTGGGATGCTGAGGGTTGTCAGACAGCCCCGGTGAGCTCTGAGCAGGAGCGTTCCGTCCTCCAGATATCCAAATTTTCGTGTTGGAGGCAGCTTTTCGGGCTGGCAGAGCCGTTGTTCTCGGGATGTGTCCCCCAGCAGAGGGCACAGCGTGGCTGTGCCACCAGGGCCACCACAACGTCCTTCTGCCACCCTGCCCTGCCCAGCTCCCTGGTGCTTCCTGCTGCTTTTGGGGAGCCTGTGGGCCCCACGCAGGATCAGAGCCTTTTCCTGCCCCAGCAGGTGTGGACACGCTGTGGTCTTGCTGCAATCCCACTTGACACCAGGCTGAGTTTTAAGCCTGCTTTCCCAGCCTGCTTCCAGACAGAAAGTGGGAGAGCTGGTGCATGTCTGTCCTCAAGGCAGACACTTTCCTGTCTCGATTAAAGGACAAAATCCCTTTCCTGATGTCTGGCATCAGCCCTGGGCTCTGCTCCCTGCTGCCAGGCAGGACAGAGGGGCATTGGACACACAGAGTGTCCCCTGGTGCAGCCCCATGGTGCTGGGATGTGGGGCAAGATGAGGCCTCATCCCCCCCTCAGCTCTTCCTGCACATCCCAGGGCTGGTGGAACGTGCTGTGGGTGACAGGTCCCCTCCCTGGCAGGCAGGGATGGTGCAGGGCTGATAACACCACGCTGTCCTCCCCAGACCATCCACGCTGAGCTCTCCAAGCTGGTGAAGAAGCACGCGGACCAGAGGAACGTGGAGACGGAGATGTACAGGAAGATGCTCGGGAATCCCAGCACTGCCAGCACCCCCAGGAAATGCAAAGACAAACTGCCCTGGGTAAGGCTTTTGGGGGTGACTGAGCAGGTGGGGATGCACGGGGGGGTGTCTCAGTGTCCCCCAGGTCCCCCAGGAGGGACACAGCCCTGCTCCCAAGCAGGATGTGGTTGGTCAGGACAGCGATCCCGCTGGGAGCAGGGGGCCGTGCTCTGGGAGCCGTGCCCAGAAAGCATCCCTGATAACAGCCTGTGCTCCTGGCTGTGTCCTGGCTGTGGATCCCAGCCATGCCAGCTGCAGGCTCTGGACCTTGCTCCCAGCTCCGTTGGGAAGCGCTGTCAGCTGGCGGCACACGCTGTCCCTGCCGCCGCGCCGGGCACGGCTGACACGGCGCTGCCTTTTTGGGATGCCCTGTCCCGGAGGCAGGGCAGGCAGGGTGGCACGTGTCCCCTGCCACGGGCACAGCCCCTCACGTCCCCGTGCTGTGCTCCGCAGTCCATCCCCTGGAAGTGGCTCTTCGGCGCGACAGCCATCGCGCTGGGCGGCGTGGCCTTGTCCGTGGTCATCGCGGCCAGGAACTGAGGGTGGCACCGCCGGGGTGGCCCCTTGGCACAGGACCGGTGCCAGCTCCTGCCTCTCTCTGCCGAGGGGCTCCCCCGAGGCTCTGCCACCCCTTCCCGCGGGCTCGCAGCTCCAGGAGCACGGATGCTTTCCCTGCCGGAGGTGCCGGATCTCTCTCCTGACGTTCCCCAAATCCCTCCTGGCACGGGTGGGTGCAGGGACCCCTGGGCAGCCTCCTGGCAATCAGGGGCTGAGCCCCCAGCCCCGAGGGTGTCGGGGGGGCTCATCCCCCAGCCCCTAGGGTGTCGAGGGGGTCTCATCCCCCAGCCCCGACGGTGTTGGGGGGGGTCTCAGCCCCCAGCCCCTAGGGTGTTGGGGGGGTCTCAGCCCCCAGCCCCTAGGGTGTTGGGGGGGTCTCAGCCCCCAGCCCCTAGGGTGTCGGGGGGGTCTCAGCCCCCAGCCCCGACGGTGTTGGGGGGGGTCTCAGCCCCCAGCCCCGAGGGTGTCGGGGGGGGGTCTCAGCCCCCAGCCCCGAGGGTGTCAGGGGGGTGTCTCAGCCCCCAGCCCCGAGGGTGTCGAGGGCAGCAGGAGCTGCCTGTCACCGGTACGTCCTGGCCGTGCCCACGCCGCGTGTTGTGGTCCTGCTGCCAGGACAGGGTGGGCAGGGGGAGAAGGAAGCTGTGGGAAGCAATGTGGATGTGCCCGGGGGGAAATGCAGCGACATTCCCTGATTCCTGGGGGGTCTGCCAGGGACTCAGCCCTCCTGGAGGTACCCGCTGCCCTCCTCTGCACATCCCTGGAGCGTGCAATGTCCAAAGGAAGCCAAAGAAACCCGCGGTGGGAGGGATGGAGGAGGGGAGCGCTGGAGACCCCCTGTCCAGGCTGTCTTCCTGTGGGTCCAAGCCCGTCGGGGGTCCCTCCCTGCCCTGCAGCCCCCCAGCGCCCGCCGCTGCCCAGCCTCAGCTCTGCTCGTGGGGGGGTCGTAGCACTGTCCTTGCACCCCAAACTGACTGTGAACTTCCCAAATAAAGGACAATTCCTTCACATTCGGGCCTGTTTATTGCCACGCATGGGGACACATTGAGTCTGCAGGGGGGGCAGTGCTCAGGGGGGAGCCTGGCACACCGAAATCAGCCCTGGAGGAAACCTGGAACCTTCAGGGGGGCAGGGGGTCCATGCCGGGGGAGGGTCTGCGGGGTTAGGGGGTTCATGCCTGGGGGATTCACACCTGGGGGAGTACAGGAGGTGCCCACCACGGAGAGTCATGCCCAGGGGGGGTCCAGAGGGTTCATGCCTGGGGGGCTCACACCCAGGGATTTCATGCCTGGGGGGGGTCCAGAGAGTTTATGCCTGGGGGGCTCATACCCAGGGGTCTCATGCCCAGGGGGGGTCCAGAGTTTATGCCTTGGGGGCTCATGCCCGGGGAATTGATGCCAAGGGGTTGCAGGGAGCTCACACCCGGAGGGTTCAATGCCCGGGGTGGGTCAGGGGGTTCATCCCGGGCATCCCCCCACCCGCCGCCCCCTCCCCACACTCCCGCAGCGCTCCCCGGCTGCACCAGACCACCCTCCCCAGCATGCCCCGCGCTCTTATTTACATATCCCCGCCTCCCCCTCCCCACGGGCCAATCCAGCGCGGCGCCCGGCATCACCCAGCCAATCGGTGCGCCCGCTGCCCACCTCCTCGCCCCAGCAACAGGCGCCCGGCGTAGGCGTGGCCGGCGGAGCGGCGCATCATGAATAATTCATAAGGAGGGGCGTGTCGGCAGCGGGCGGCCCCGGCGGCCCAGGCGCGGAGGGGGAGACGGTCCCAAGATGGCGGCGCTGCAGGCGGAGCGCGGGTACGGGCTGTCCTGCGGCCGCCTCGGCCGCGGCACCCGCGTCTCCGTCTTCCACGTCAAGCTCACGGAGAGCGCCCTACGCGCCTTCGAGAGCTACCAGGCCTGTAAGGTACGGGGCTGGCGGGAGTGGGGCGGCGGGCACGGCCCCGCCGAGGGCGAGCGGGCGGCCGCCACGAGGCCCCCGGACGGAGCCCTGCGGGCGGCACCGGCGGGGATGTGAGGGGAGGTGAGAGGGGGGAGCTCCTCGTGAAGTGGCTGCGTGGCCTGGGGCGGGGGGACTCTGTGATGTGGGGCTGAGGGGGTGCGGAGGCTCCCGGCCCCCCCCCCCCCTCCCCGTCCGTCCGTGAGTGACCGGGGAACCGGGAATGGGGAGGGGGGGCGGGCGATCCTGGTGCCAGGTGCCTGAGGGACACCGGAGGGGACCCGCGGTGCCCCTCCCGGTAACGCCCCGGAGCACCCCGGTGTGTTCCTCGTCCCCGGTAGTGTTTGCGGGGTCGCTCTGAGCCCCCCGGTGAGTGACCGGGGAGGGGTCGTGATCCTCTGCCAAGTGCCCGAGGGGCACCGGGAGGTGCCGGTGCTTCCCCCCCCCGCCCCGGTGATTGCTGATGGGGGGACCCCCGTGTGCCACCACCCCGGTGGGTGAGCGGGGACCCCCGGTGTGCCCCCCCCGGGTGGGTGACAGGGGCCCCGCGGTCTCGGTGCGGGGGTGGGCGCTCGGTGCCCCCCCGGGAGGTGACGAGAAGCTGCCGTCAGTCCCCGTAAGTGTCTGGGGAGGGGGGCCAAGGGACGTCGGTGCCCCCCCCGTTTCCCCGGTGAACGTGACGTGGGTTTCCAAAGCCGGGGGGGGGGCGGCGGGTCCATCCCCGGTGCTGCCATCCCGGGCTGGGGAGGGGTCTCTCCGTCGCTGTCCCCTCGCCGGGACAGCCGGTTGTTCATCCCCCGCCGGCTCGGTGCTCCCCTCCCGGGAGTCGGGGAGGGGGAGGCACGTTCAGACTGTATTTTGAAATTTCCAGATTGTCTTTTCCGTGCCGTTTCCTTGAAATGCATCCAGAGAGCTTGTTAGTCGTGTAAATAGAGAATAATGGCAAAGCTCGGCAGCTGGTGTTGGGATGGACCGGAGAGGGGTTCAAAACTGTCATTTTTTTAGTGTAATTTTATTTTTATTTTATTTTTTCTTTCCGCCTTTGATCCTGCGACGAGCATTTCTGTCTCCTCACCTTGCTGGGGGAAGCTGGGAGCCTAAACCCGTTTGTCATTAGGAGCGTCCTGCCTGCCAGCTTCTGTAGGATAAACCATATGTTGTCACAACACTATTTTTAATTTAGGGTGTTGGTTACATCACATCACTGAATTGGGCAATCTCTGTATGAGGACGAAGGTAATGACTGTACCAGGGTTTTATCAACTTATATTTTAATGAGTGTTTATCAGCATTATGAGAAGTCAGGAGGAATAAGTGACTTGGGTAGGCTGAATTATTAGCTTTTTTTCTCTCTGAAAAATGAAACAAATAATCCAAATAATTCTTTCCTATATATTGGGAAAGCCTTTTATTTTGGGGGAGGGAGAGTAGGAAGACTACAGGCAGCTGCGTTAAATATTTTGGGAAGCTATTCCGAGTCCATGTCACACATGAATAGTGGTGTTTATTTTCTAAATGAAGTCTGGGCTCGGGATTGTGTGGTGGCCAACGGCCACTAATGAACTCTGCTTCCTTCACCGCCACCCAAAAGAGAAATAGTCAGAGGCTCCTGGTGATTAACTGGGCAGGAAGGGATAAGGGCAGAAGAGCTGCTTGTTTGTGTAGTGAATAACGCAACAATTAGTGGGCTATTAAACACATATGCTCGTTCTGCATTGGTTCTATAAACAGTTTCCCCAGCTTGTTGAACATCTCAGCTTCCTCGGAAGCTCTGGGCCCGGCCCTGCCAGGAGCCACCTCCAACACACCTTTGCAGCTTCTGTTTGTCCGCTCCAGCTCTGCTTTAATTTTGGGCTGCAGTAGTTCAATGGAAAAAATTTGCTCAGGCTCCTTCTGCTCGGTTTGGTTTGAAACGTGGTGGAACTGACGGCAGCGTTGTGTAATATGGATAATGGCCTGGAATCCAATCCTGCTCTTTGTGTTACCTGGAGTCCAACGTGTGCAGTCTGACCTGTTTGGGGCACCGGGGTAGCACGTCCGTGCGATTCCTGCGACAAGGCTCTGTCCCTCTGCCAGAACGGGCAGGGAAATGTCTTCAGTTCCTTGGTTGAGTTTGTTCTTGGTCTAATAATAATGTATTGGGATTACATAATCCAAAAATGATCACCCAGCCGGGCGAGCTGCCATTTGTTTGGAGTGTCCCTGGTGCCAGAGCAGTTGCAGGCTTGGTGTGGAGCTGCACCATGTGTGGATCAGGCAGCAGGGCTGTGGAGAAACAGATATTTGTCTTGTTGGGCCTCTGCTGAGCTGTGCTCTTGTGCTTCTGCTGAATTGTCTGCGTCCTAGGGAAGGAAATGGTCAGGGATCCAAATTCTGCATAGGGTTTGGAGCAGCCTGGTCTAATGGAAGGTGTCCCTGCTCGTGGAAGGGGTTGAAACACATTGAGCTTTAAGGTCCCTCCCAGCCCAAACCATTCTATGATTTTGAGATATTGATCCCCAACTCTTATGTTCCAGCAAGCTGTTCCTGTGTCAGGTACAGAGGACGTGGAGCTGCTGCTGAGGAGCTCCAGCTCACAGGGCTGCTGGCTTCTGATCCTGGGAAGGGTTTTTTTGGTAGCTCACCTGAAAGAAATAGGAGCCTTAAAAAGAGAATTAGCACTGGCTTCACAGGGGACACAGTGAGATGTCACCCAGCTGCTCCTTGTGAAACTTGCTGTCCCTGAAACTGTTTCCCCACAGTTGTGAAACTGAGAGCTCTGGCTACTGAGCTCAGAGGGCTGAGCAGTGGGAAGTGTGTCCCAAGTTGGTTTGTCCACTGATGAAATGGAGCCAGTCTGGTGTGCTCACCTAAAACAACTCCGGGTTCTCCAGGGAGTGTAATTCTAGAGCAGCCTGCAGTTTGCTGCCTTCCTTTTGGGGGTGTGTATGTGGTTAGGCATTGCCACTCCCCCCAAAAAGGCAGGGCATGGCCAAGGCCAGGTTGGATGGGGCTTGGAGCAATCTCATCTGGTGGAAAGTGTTCCTGCCCATGGCAAGGGGGTGGAGCTGGGTGGTCTTCAGGGTCTTTGGGTCTTTCTGACCCAAACCATTCTGGGATTAGATCCTGCCCATGGCAAGGGGGTGGAGCTGGGTGGTCTTCAGGGTCTTTCCGACCCAAACCATTCTGGGATTAGATGGTTCTGTGACTTCTTGTGTGCCCCCCAACTTTGTTCCTGCCCCTGTCAAGGTAGAAGGGAACTCCTCACACCTGTGCCTTGCTTTCCTCCTTCATTCCTGTCCTCGGTGAGGAAATATTTTACCATCCTCACCTTATACCCTTAGTTATCATTCATCCTTTATTTTTCACATCTGTTTTTTTAGCAGCATCCTGGGTAAGTCCCCATCTTCCTGCCTGATTCAGATGCCACATGGCAGACCTGAGTGTCCCTTGGCAGTAGCTCTGTCTCTCTTACAGCGAAGGTGCTGATGTCACATAAACAGTGTTAGGGCTGTTCCTGGAACCCTTACCTGGGATTTTCCCAACTTCCACGTATTTCTATAAACCTCTCTGTGGTTGAGAGGTGGTTCTTTGATTACAGGCAACGCGATGCACTTGCACGCCTTTCCCTGTCGCTTTATGTGCTGACCTAACAATGGCTGAACTCTGCTCTGGTCCTGCCTTGCCTGGTGGTTTTTGGAGGGTTTAAAGAAGGTTGTAGCATCCCTTGGTGGTGGAGCTGAGCAGCACATCCTGCTCCCGTTGTCCCTCTGTGCCCCTGCTACCCCAGAGTGTTTTGAACTGCAGCCACCGGTTGATTCGCTGGTGAACTTTGGCAGATGCACAAATATTTATTGGGGACTAAGCTGAGATAACCAAAGCACGTTGCCCCTGTGCTCACCCAGCTGAATTTTGGGACTGTGGTCTGATGGATGTGGCTTCCCAAATCATCTTCCCCATGCTGCTCTAAAACCAACCGTGAGAGAAACAATCCCTTGGAAATGAGGGTTAACCCGACCCCTTGGAGTTGCTATTTACTGAAATAACTTTCCAGCCTTGGCTTTTGGAGCAGGTTGTGGAGATTCCTTCATCTTGCTGTGTTCAAAGCACGAAACACAAAATGAAGGCTGTGCTGTCATTACAGGGTCTTTAGGGTAATGTGTATTCATGCTGACTTGAGAATTGAAAGCTGCTTGCAGGTGTCAGGAGGAGAAGAACAATCCGCCTTCCCAATCAAAATTCATTGAATTATCTCAGAGCTTTTTGCATCATTCCTCCTTCCCTGTAACCTGTTTTTTCCTGTCCTATTAATTCACTGATGCTGTAGTCCGTCAAAATTGAGGCTCTTACGACATCGGGAGCATGAGTCGGTGACATGACTGAATGAATCAGAGGAGGCTGGAGAGGAAGCTCATCGCACACGTACGGCTCATCAGCAAAAATGGGACAGGATCTGCAGAACACCCTGAACTGCTCAACTCCTGCTCAATGTTCTTCACGTTGACCTGAATGTGGCACCTCCCATTGGAAGGAAGGGGACAAAGAGACACTGAACATTGTGCACGAGGAATGTTTTGGCCCGTGGCAGTTTTCTTTCAATTATTTAGGGAAGCTTTTTCTCTCTCAACCGTATAGCATTTGGATCTGCTCAAATTATAGATTCATCTCTATAGTTTTCAAATGGCATTGGAAGGAATTGTCTGTAATTTACATCTAAAGTGATGTACAGTTGCTATGGGATTTGGTGACAAATTATAAACCCATTATGCTTTTTTTTTATACTGGTGGTAGCAGACTAAAGAACTAGGTCTAATTGGTGATGTGCCAAAGGAAAATAGAAAGTTTGTGACAGAATCCTTGTGACTGATGGGGCTTTCTTTTTCTTTTTTTTTTTTTTTAAGCAAATGTAATCTGCTTTTTATCAGCAAAACATACCCATTAATTGGAGAGGTTGAATTTGAATTAATAATTTTTGCTCTCTGGCAATA